CACGTACCAGTTCTTTCGCTGCTCGGGATCTCTCCTGCTCCGCTGCCAACCTATGCCGAGAGCGAGAGTCCGATAACGATAATACTGTTTCGTAAAGGCCCTGCAAGCAATCGTGGACCTCGCTCTTACATTCACGTTTCATATTTCCTGCTTTCTCCAAAGCTTCTTTTCCAGAAAGCAGGAACTCATTAGCCCTCTGGGTTGCTAAGTCCATGGAGATGCCCGCGCGCTTTTGTGACGGTGGCAGTATACTTGACCTCCTGCTGTTGCCACTAGTTATACTGTCACCATCAGACCACTCATCTTCAGTCTCCCTGACTGGTTTGCATAGACCTAGGATGTTAAGTTCTTTATCAATGTCCAGAGTTATGGAACTACCGTCCTCCAAACCTGCATTTTGTGGTGTGAACTCTACTGGCGCAAGAGCATCCCGTATGTCTGTGCTATGACTGGAGGAGTTGGAAGCAGCAGAACAAGAGGCTAATTCTCCAACCGTTGGGGTGTTATCCTGCTCCGCCTCCGCTGTCCTCCCAGACGTGGTTGCATTTTGGATTAACACTTTTTTACGCAGCGCCACACTGGGGGTTGGACTTACACCTCTTTTAACTTTCGACAGACTTGACTTAGCTGAGCTAGAGCCTGAAGATCCAGATTTGCAGGACATTTTTTTTTTCCTCACCTTTGAACAGCCCTATTGGTACAGCACTGCTAGATTTATATACCCCGTATAATTCCAAAGCGTTTGAGCCCAAACACGGGTTAGGTTAGGTTAGGTTAGGTTAGGTTAGGTTAGGTTAGGTTAGGTTAGGTTAGGTTAGGTTAGGTTAGGTTAGGTTAGGTTCCCCCCCGAACGGGTTCCCGCCTTGTCGTGGCGGGGGGGCTTAGTAGCCGTGGCTTGGTCACCCACGGTGAACAAAGAGGAACCCCTTGGCTGGCCCGTGGTGTAGGGCCGGCCCGAGGTGGCCACTCCGAGTGGGCTTGGGAAGCCTACTTCGGATGTGTGTCGGGGGGCTGCGGTAAGAGGGGAGTCCGCACCCTCTACCGCTGCAGCCGAGGTGGAGTCGCGGAGGAAGAGGAGTGTTGGTATGGCGATGCGCCACTCGCCCTATCCTCCGCGACTCTGACGGGGCCGCACCGTTAATGATGCGGTGGTGGTGGGGCTGCGGGGGGAGAGGAGTGTCGGTATTGCGAGGCGCCGCTCTCCCTACCCTCCGCAGCCGAATCTTGGTTGGCGGCGGAGCCATAGACCAGATCCGCCGCTGGGGCCAGGAAGGCCGGTGCTTCTGAGTGCTAGGTTTTCCTGGCCCCATGGCTTTCGCGCATCGGACTCGGGGGCGTCTGTTGCGCATTGGAAATTGGAGGCCGAGGAGGAGGGCGCGCCATGTGTTCTGGTGCGCCTTACCTGAGAAGGAGATGGGGGAGGAGTAGTCCTCTCCCGAGGAGGGGCCGCTATGGAGTGGCCAGCGCAGGTGGGGCCGCGGAAGTGTGCGAAAGCGTTCCCGTGGCCCTGCCAATATGCGACAAGGGTGGAACACCATGGGGTTTTAGTCGGTGCGAGTCCGACATAACCCGTCCTTGCCCCCGCGAGGCGGGTATGCGTAGGCATTTCCCCATGTAAAAAAAAAAAAAAAAAAAAAAAAAAAGGTTAGGTTAGGTTAGGTTAGGTTAGGTTAGGTTAGGTTAGGTTAGGTTAGGTTAGGTTAGGTTAGGTTAGGTTAGGTTAGGTTAGGTTAGGTTAGGTTAGGTTAGGTTAGGTTAGGTTAGGTTAGGTTAGGTTAGGTTAGGTTAGGTTAGGTTCCCCCCCGAACGGGTTCCCGCCTTGTCGTGGCGGGGGGGCTTAGTAGCCGTGGCTTGGTCAACCACGGTGAACGAAGAGGAACCCCTTGGCTGGCCCGAGGTGTAGGGCCGGCCCGAGGTGGCCACTCCGAGTGGGCTTGGGAAGCCCACTTCGGATGTGTGTCGGGGGGCTGTGGTGAGAGGGGAGTCCGCAACCCTCTACCGCTGCAGCCGAGGTGGAGTCGCGGAGGAAGAGGAGTGTTGGTATGGCGATGCGCCACTCGCCCTATCCTCCGCGACTCAGACGGGGCCGCACCGTTAAATGATGCGGTGGTGGTGGGGCTGCGGGGGGAGAGGAGTGTCGGTATTGCGAGGCGCCGCTCTCCCTACCCTCCGCGGCCGAAACTTGGTTGGCGGCGGAGCCAGAGACCAGATCCGCCGCTGGGGTCGGGAAAGCGGGCGCTATTAAGCGCTCGATTTTCCTGGCCCCATGGCCTCCGCGTATCGAACTCGGGGGGGTCCGATACGCAGGTGGAGCTGGAGGCTGTGGAGGGGGGTAGCTGAACACCTCGCTACCCCGGGCAGGAGACGAGGCCCGAACAGACCGGGCTAGCACTAGTGCGGGGCTGCGGAAGAATTTGGATTCCCGCGGCCCCGCGCGCACGTGCGAGGAGGCATCGTGGGGTTTTAGCCGGTAGGAGTCCGGCATAACCTTCCGGTTGCCCCCGCAGCCGGAGGTATCCATGAGGATTTCCCCACGTAAAAAAAAAAAAAAAAAAAAAAAGGTTAGGTTAGGTTAGGTTAGGTTAGGTTAGGTTAGGTTAGGTTAGGTTAGGTTAGGTTAGGTTAGGTTAGGTTAGGTTAGGTTAGGTTAGGTTAGGTTAGGTTAGGTTAGGTTAGGTTAGGTTAGGTTTTTTTTTTTTTTTTTTTTTTTTTTTTTATACTAGTTCCCCTGACATGGAACTCAGGGACTTTTTTAATCTTTTATTATAGTTTAATCTTTCTTTTTCTTTTTCCTTTTTTAATATTTTTGTATTTTTTATTCTTTTTTATTTTTATTTCTGTTTCTTTATTTCTTTTGTTAGTTCTTACATGTTTTCTTATCTAGTTAATTCTAGGTACAATTCTTATTGTGCTATTTCTTATTCTTACATATTTGTATGGGCTGTATACATTATATATTATATATATTATGTTACAATTTCCCTTATTACTACTAGTTTTTATTCTTATTTATTACCTTATGGACTATATTCTTACAATATTTCAAAAATCTATTTCTAACATGTTTATTTCTAATTATATTGTATACATTTTCTTTGTTTATCTTAATTTCTATCTCTAATTCTAAATCAGCTCTTTCTCTGCCATAAATAGGGCACTCTGTTATTAGGTGTATAACCGTTTCTTGTCTTGCTGGATCACAGGCGCATGCCGGGCTCTCCTTGCATTTAAAACGGAATAAATATTCGGAGAACCCGCCATGTCCTGTCATCACTTGTACTATTTGTGGGTCTATTTCTATTTTTCTTATAATAGGATATGCTTCTATGGCATCGGGGAAGAAGGTTTTTGTGATGGAGGCTGTTTCTCCTTCCGTGTATCTTCGGTTCCATTCGTCAAGCGAACCCAGTCGAATCTGTCGCTTGACGTATGAAACCGGACACCTCTCATAATCTGGCCTTCTTTTTATTTTTAGTGCGGCTTCTTTGGCTAATTTGTCTGCTCTCTCGTTTCCCTCCAATCCTGCGTGAGCTTTAATCCAGAATAGTTCGAGAGTTTTCCCTTGCTTTTTTATTAGACTGATGTTCGTTCTAGTTTCTGCCGCTAGGGGATGGAGGGAAACGCTTTTTATAACTGTCTGGAGAGCAGACATTGAGTCACTATATATTTGACAATTTTGTGCTGGGTGTGTTAGTGCGTACCTAGTTGCTTCTCGAATGGCGAGCAACTCCGCCTGGAAGACGGTGCAGAAATTTTCCAACTTTAGTTTCCGGTTACTCGTCTCCGCTGCATCATTCCAAATGGATAATGCAGCGCCGACTTTCCCCTCGATCTTACTGCCGTCAGTAAATATTTTGAGGCCTTTATTGTCATGTTGGTCCATTTGTGCCCCGTCCTCCAGGCATTTGTATTGCAGGCCATATTCGTCTGCAGGGTGTGGCATCCTACAATATTCGACTTTTGTCTCCACATCTCGGTCCTCTACCACTACCCGGGAATGGCCTTTTCTTATTTCATAAAGCAAGGCTGCTTCCCGGACTCTCAGATCCAAGGGAAGCAGCCCGGCAAGTAGCAGAGCCGAGTGTAGAGAGACGGTTCTGTAAGACTTAATAATTTTTTGCACGAACCCACGTTGCACCGTATCGAGCTGTTTTTTAATCATTATTTTATTTGTTGCCGCCGCCCATGCGCTCGCCGCATATAATATAATCGGCTCTACTACCGCTATGTATATAGTCCTGGTAATCTCGGAGTTTAAGCCCCAATGAATCTTTGCGGCTCTGCACAGCTGACGATACAAGTTCTGTACCTTACAGCATTGTTTCCTCACGTGCGTGTTAAAGGTCAGCTTGTCGTCAACTGTGAGGCCGAGTATTTTAATTTCTTTGGACAAACCAATGCTTTCCCCGCCCATTTTCAGAAGTGGTGAGTCGTACTTAATCTTATTTGTAATAATCATTGCTTTAGTTTTATGCGGAGCAAATTTCAGCTTATTTTTGACTCCCCACTTCCGAACACGTTCGAGGGCCGCATTGGCTTGTTCCTGCACTTCCAGTGCATTATCTCCAGAGAAAATCAGGACTACATCATCCGCAAATGCATGGCAGCGGTCCCCTCCATCGTTTAGCTCTTGCAGAAGTGGATTAAGCAAAAGGTTCCAAAATATTGGACCGCCTATTGAGCCCTGCACGCATCCCTTTGTAGTCTTTTTAACCCATTCTGTCCCTAAGTACTTTATGCAAACTGACCTATCCTCAAAATAGTTGTCTGTCAGTCGCCTAATGTTTTTTGGGCATCCTATCTCTGCAAGGCCACATCGTATAGCTGGCCACCAGGCGTTGTCGAAGGCTCCCTCTATGTCAAGTGACACAAGCAAGACCAATTTTTTATCATTGATCCTGGCTTTTATATATTGTATCATGTCATAGAGGGAGTCCTCCGTACTACGCTGTGGCATAAAGCCATATTGGCTTTTGCTTATTTTTGGTACGATGTGCCACTTAATCCTTCGTACCATCATTTTTTCTACTACTTTCCCTAAAACAGGCAAAAACCACCACTGCCGCCTCCTTCCATTTACTGGGGAAATATGACAGATGAAGACATTTATTGGCCAATGCCAAGAACATTGGAGGATCCAAAGTGATAGCCGCCATGCAGATGTCAGCCGTGAGACCATCGTTCCCAGGAGCCTTTTTGAGGTTAAAACTCGACGCGGCCCACATTAGCTCTTCAATCGTAAAGGGCGGATCACTTGAGTCATCAAGTGACCCTTCATTTACTACTTCAGCTATTTTTCTCTTCAGCCTGTGTTCCGCGTCGTCGTCTTGGGTGTTATCATCTGGATAAAAGGTCTCTGCTAGTGCTCTTGCTGATTCCGTGTTTCCAAGGGTCTTTCCATCTCGTACAAGGGGGATATCCTCCTTTCTTTGCGTAGTACGGCTTATAACTCTGTAGACCCCATCCCACATCGACTCCTGCTCCTGTCTGCTGCAGAAATCCTTCCAGCTGGAGGTTTGTGCATTCTTAACTTGCTGCTGGTATTCCTCTTTTGCTCTAACATACTGCTCGACGACCCACTCGCGGCGAACTGGCGCCGCGTAAGAAATTCTGCGCTTTAACCTGGAGACATCCTTTTTTCTTTGGGTTAACTCATCGGTCCACCAAGGCAATCCCACTCGTTTTTTACTTTTAATTTTAGGCATGCTGTGTTCACATGCATCAGAGATTGTTTCTGTTATTTCTCTTACTTTCCCTTCGAGATCTTCCTTCTTTTCTATTTTGTTAATCTGTAATTTATTTATTCCCTTTTCCTGCCAAATCTGGGTGAGTTTCTCACGAAACTCACTCCAATTTGCCTTTCTTGTGTTGAATTTCCTTGTTGATCTTTTTATTTCCGTGCTTAATGATTTTTCTAAATTTACATCGAATAGGATTGCCCTGTGGTCCGAACTGGTTACTTCCTCAGATAATCTCCAGTTATCTATTCTTCCGAGCAGGTTCGTCGAGCAAGTTGTTACGTCTACACAGCTGGTAAATCTCTTTCCGCCTCGAATGGTGTCGAAAGTGGGTGCTGTCCCGTTATTTAGAATGTGGAGCTCCATTTGATCGAGTCTAGCTGCTACCTCAATCCCCCTCTTGTCCACCTCACGGCTTCCCCACCAAGTATTCCAGGCATTTATATCTCCACCGAATATCACGTTTCCAGTTCCTAGGCCCGCTACGGCCGTTTCAATCATATTCAGATAAGGTTCTAGTGGTTTGTCGCCCTCCAGGTAGACGGACACCACTCCCAAGTCCCAGGCTCCTGTCCTCAATATAGCTACTGCGATATTCTCAGTTGTCAGGTCAGGGCATTGGGTTATGGAAATGGTGTCGTCAAATAGTGCAATGGCCGCCTTTATTACTTTTTCTGTATTTGGCTTTCTGTTACATTGCACTATTTTTGTCCCTGGGTAAACCTTCATCTCTCCAATCCGACCAATGTACGGTTCCTGAATCAAGGCGAATGATATATTTTTCTTGGTAGCTTCAATGATTAGTTCGGCCGTAGCTAGCTCACTTCTTTGAAGGTTTGCCTGGATCACATGATATCGGTGGTTACCTGGATTTGGGTTTCTGTCTGACCGTGAGACCACCTTAGCAATATGCTACAGTGGATCTCGCTAGGGCTTCCCATTTCCTTCTTATGGGGCAGTCTGCACTAAACGCGTTATGGTCTTTCCTTTCTATTTTTGCTTTGTAACAGTTTCTGCATGACGGAGGCTCACCAGAAAGCCAATCAGCGCATTCTGATTTTAGGTGTGGGCCCCCGCAGTGACTACAGACATCCGCTGTGTCACTACATAGTCGTTTGCTATGTCCATAGGCCAGACACCGTGAACATTGTACAAGAGGGGACTGGTCATCTACCCTTACTCGCTGCAGATCAACATGGATCCACCCAACTTGTGTAAGATGATTCCATAACTGGGGCGAGACTCTAATGACAATATGGGATGTGTGCGGATTTCTTGATTTTTTCCTGTATTTTACCTCCATCCTGTTCTCTTTTTCAGCTACATTTTGGAAAAGCTGTCTGTTTTGACTCCTTATGGCCCTAATTATATCCTCGTCTGTGTTGTATTCCAATACGTCTTTTAATATAATTAATGGGTCTTTATTTTTTATGTCATCTATATTCAAATTTTTGCTCGTGGTCTTTATTCTTTCTTTTACCCTATTTATCTCTTCCTGGGTGCTACACCCCAGTATTACCTTTCGGTCCCTTGCTTTTCTTATTTTATCTATTTTTAGCCCTTCTTCTTTAGCATTTATTGCCGTTCTTATTTTGTCCATTACCTGCTCTCCTGTGTCCTTCTCGTCAGTAGATGTTATTACTACTGAGTGCATTGCCATATTTTGCTGAGGCAGTCTCATCGATGTTCCGGCCAGTACACTTGCATATGTACCTTTCTCCTCCTTATTTTCTTTCTTTTTCATTTCTTCCCTTAATTTTTCCATCTCTTTCTTGTTCTCTTCTAGGAGTTTTCCATGTTCCTCCAACTTCTTAATAAGATGATTATGTTCTTCCACATTTCTTTTCTCAATTTCTTCTTCCGGTTTGTCTACTTTTTTCTCCTGATCCCTTATCTTTCTTTCTTTTTCTTTAATTTTGCCTGCCTCTGCCTCTTTGACCAGTTGGTAAAGTCTCTCTATGGCTTGCGTAACTTCGGTCTTTATATCAGTCCTTAAGTTACGTGAATTGCTGAGATGCAATTTGGCTTTTTGCAGACAGGCTCGAGCTTCCGTCAAGCGATCTGCATATTTTGGTATGTCCATTTTAGGTGAGACTTCAGTGGGCTCCATTAAAACTCTACGGGTTGCTCCTTTTGCTTCCTGGGATGGTAGGATTTTTTGTTTTTGCCGTGTCACCAGGACTACCTTTTTAGGAGAGGGCTGAGTTCCAGCTTCAGCATCTAATTTTCCTGCTTCCCACTCTCCAATACTTCTCCTCACTGTAGAGACGTGCATCGTTTGATTACTTTTAGGAGAAGTCTCTTTCCCCTCTGTCCTATTTGGAGAGCCCTGAGGATCCATGTCTTTAGAGCTGTCCTCAGTCTTTTTGGAAGGAGTGCGGAAGCCAAACATGGTCAGGGGAACGCGTCCTTATTTCGTAATATAATTAAGAAAATTTTTACAAAAATAAAAATTTTTTGTAAAGTTATAAAAATTTAAAAAGTTTGTAAAAGTTATATATATGTACAGCTCGATACGGCTATGGTGAGTTCGTACTTCGCGTCAGTTCGATTGAAAGTCTACAAGCTCACAAGATTATTTTTGTTACTATGTAGAGTTTTTGCTCTACTTCCCGTCTGTAGAACTCTATCTAGAGTCGGTCTAAAAACCTTATAATATGTAACCTATTTGGTTACCTTTATGTCCTATACTCTACTTAGAGTCGTCTTGTAAGCTAAACTTACTCTAAAGTAACAGACAATAAAAACACCACAGCTGTCACTTAAAATCTAATAATTTATCTTATATATAATAAAATGAGGAAAATATGAAACTTATGTAGTATAATATTATATACAATTTTTTGGTTAATTCTATATAGAGTCCAACTACATAAATGACAAGTAATATAAAATAAAATGAAATAATATAAAAACAACAAAAACTAATTTCTTTATAATGCTCTATATAGAGTCAGGCTCCGTCTATTCTGTCGGTTCTACACTAAGGCTTCAACGAGATCTGTCTTAAATATTAAAAATTTCTTAAAAGTACTATATACACGGAGAGTTATAGACTAATAGGTCTTTGACTCTATGTAGAGTCTGTATTTCGAACCAGCCAAAAGCGCTCCTCGAACCCTATTCGAGGAACCCAAACTCGGTATACCTAGCCCAATGGGTTCGAAAGTTACCGCGTTTTCAAGTTCTGGTTGAAAAACAAGATGGCTGCCAAAATACGGTTTCCACGCTGTAACTTACGAACGAACAGGCTTACAGCTCCGTGCTTGGGCTCGTCTTACTGGGCTCGACTAGGGCTATAATTTTGTGTGGTTTTCAGGGATCAAAATTTTGGGTGCTGAAATTCCCTGAAAGCTGGGTTACCTGTTCCGGCACTACTTGCCAACGTCTAGAGTCCAAACCCCAGTCCTCTACGACTCCTAGAACAGGAGTTATTCCGATCCTAAACTTTTCAAAATGGCCGCCAATCCAAGCAGCAAATGGCTATTTCGGGCGTCTTTTAACCGATTTGGCCCGTGTTTGGGCTCATTTGAAAGGTCTCGGTGTCGAGCTTAAAGTTTTGTAAATATTTTGGCGATTAAAGCCCCCTTTAATAATATTTTAAACAAAAAACATATAATATTTTAGAAAAATTTGAATTTTTCGGCCAAATTTAGTTTTAAAAATCTACAAAAATTTTGAAACGTTATTCTCAAAATCCTTCCTATGAATATATATTTTTTTTTAAAATTTTTAACATGTAATATTAAGTATCATATGGTCATTTAAAAAATTAAAAAATTTCTAACTTAAAAACTACTTATTGCAAAAATCTAAATTTTAATATACACATTTAATATACTAATCTTAACACTATTTTATTCTAAAAACCAAGGGCTTCAATTTCGTTATTGAATAATTTAATAAACAAATTTTTCGAAAATTTAAAAGTCCAATATTTCTTTAACCACTTAACTTAAAATAGTTTTAAAAACTGCTCCCGGCTCCACTCCGCGTTCGCTAACAGAATGTGGCTCCAAAAACAGCCGCACGATTCTGCATCACCGAACACGTGCCCACGTGGTACTTGTTTTTTTTTTTTTTTTTTTTTTTTTTTTTTTTTTGGGTTTTTCTCAAAAACTGTTATTCACAAAAATCTCAAATTTTGCACATTTGTAGGGACCACTAATAGCTTTAAAGCCGCACTATAAAAATGTGGGGTCTTCACTTTAGATTTTGAATAATTTAATTTTGAAATTTTGCCAAAATTTAAAAGTTCAATAATTCTTTAACCACTTAACTTAATTTTGTTCCGAAAATTGCTCCAGGCTCTTCTCCACGTGTGCTACCGAAATGCGACTTCAAAAGTAGCCGCACGATTTCGGATCATGAAACACGTGCCCACGTGGCACTTGTTTTTTTGCGTTTTTCTCCGAAACTATGGTTCGGAAAAATCTCAAATTTTGCTCATATGTAGGGGCCACTTATAGCATTAGAACCACACTATAAAAAGTTGGGGTCAAAGCGCTTAATCGCACAGCGTTCCACTTTAAAGATTTTTCACTTTTTGAAAAACACTTTTTTCCGGATAACTTTTCAAGCAAAACTCCGATTTTCTAACACTTTTCACTAATTTAAACCTCTCGACGAGACGCGTCTTTTGGTATATCGCACGTAAAAATCCGATGCAAAAAACCTATTTTTACGTATTTTTAAGCGCGGAGCGACTCAAAAACGTGGCGTTCGGGACAGCAGTTGACACCGGACTGGTTAGGTTAGGTTAGGTTAGGTTAGGTTAGGTTAGGTTAGGTTAGGTTAGGTTAGGTTAGGTTAGGTTAGGTTAGGTTAGGTTAGGTTAGGTTAGGTTAGGTTAGGTTAGGTTAGGTTAGGTTAGGTTAGGTTAGGTTAGGTTAGGTTAGGTTAGGTTAGGTTAGGTTAGGTTAGGTTAGGTTAGGTTAGGTTAGGTTAGGTTAGGTTAGGTTAGGTTAGGTTAGGTTAGGTTAGGTTAGGTTAGGTTTTTTTTTTTTTTTTTTTTTGTATGTTTTGCTGCTTTCCTTTGACATGGAGGTCAGAGACATTGTCAGCTCAACACGGACTTCAATTTCTTGTATAAAAAATTTAATTCATTGTCCTTCATATTATAGAGGGTGTAGAGAACTCCGGGTTTTCATTCGGGAGTCCTACTACTCTTAATCTAAATATGTAATAACATTATAGCTCTTGCTTATTAATACCTCTATATAATAATATAAAATGCGGAGAGAGATCAGGGACATTTTTCTCTTTTTACTTGTATCTATGTATCTTAAATTCGGTTCTTTTTTCTTATTTTACTTACGTCTAATATAATTATTGCTTTTGTTTTTATTGCTATATCTTAATCTACTTTTCTACTAATTTAGCGGAGCTGTTTACATTATATACTTATATATAAGTCACAGTTTCCTTATTGCTATTTTTATTTGTTTTTATTTACTACCTTATTTGCTATAAGCTTACAGTAGTTTAAGAACCTTATTCTAGTACACTTACTTCCTATTATTTTACATATACTATCTTTTCCTATTTTAGTTTCTAATTCTATTTCTACATTATTTCTTTCTTTGCTATAGATGGGACATTCTGTTATGATGTGCAATACGCTTTCTTCCATCATTGGATCACAGGCACATGATGGGCTCTCCTTGCATTTGAACCGATGCAAGTATTCCGAGAACCCGCCATGTCCGGTCATCATTTGCACCATTAACGGGTCCATATTTAGTTTCCTTATTATAGGGTAGGCACTTATTGCATTGGGGAAGTATATTTTAGTTACAGAGGCCGTTTCGCCTTCTATGTAGCGTCGATTCCATTCGTCAAGTGAGTCAAGACGAATCTGTCGTTTGACGAATGAAATCGGACACTTATCGTAGTTAGGTTTTCTTTTTAGTTTTAAGGCGGCTTCCTTTGCTAGTTCGTCTGCCCTCTCATTCCCCTCCAACCCCGCGTGTGCTTTAACCCAGAGCAGTTTAATTAATTTTCCTTGTTTTTGAATTTTTGAAATGTTTTTTCTAATATTTGCGGCTAAGGGGTGGAAGGTAACGTTCTGGACAACTGTCTGCAGTGCAGACCTCGAATCGCTGTATATGTTGCAGTACATTGCCGAGTCTCTAAGCGCGTAATTTGTTGCCTCGAAGATGGCCAGCAGCTCCGCCTGGTAGACAGTGCAGAAATCTTCCAACTTTAGTTTTCGGGTACTTATCTCCACTGCGTGTCTCCATACAGATAACGCAGCGCCGACTTTCCCCTCGATCTTACTACCATCTGTATATATGGTTAGGTTAGGTTAGGTTAGGTTAGGTTAGGTTAGGTTAGGTTAGGTTAGGTTAGGTTAGGTTAGGTTAGGTTAGGTTAGGTTAGGTTAGGTTAGGTTAGGTTAGGTTAGGTTAGGTTAGGTTAGGTTAGGTTAGGTTAGGTTAGGTTAGGTTAGGTTAGGTTAGGTTAGGTTAGGTTCCCCCCCGAACGGGTTCCCGCCTTGTCGTGGCGGGGGGGCTTAGTAGCCGTGGCTTGGTCGACCACGGTGAACAAAGAGGAACCCCTTGGCTGGCCCGTGGTGTAGGGCCGGCCCGAGGTGGCCACTCCGAGTGGGCTTGGGAAGCCCACTTCGGATGTGTGTCGGTGGGATGCTGCGAGAGGGGTGTCCGCGCCCTCTATCGCTGCAGCCGAGGTGGAGTCGCGGAGGAGGAGGCGTGCTGGTATGGCGATGCGCCACTCGCCCTATCCTCTGCGACTCAGACGGGGCCGCACCGTTGAGTGATGCGGTGATGGTGGGGCTGCGGGGGGAGAGGAGTGTCGGTATTGCGAGGCGCCGCTCTCCCTACCCTCCGCAGCCGAATCTTGGTTGGCGGCGGAGCCATAGACCAGATCCGCCGCGGGGGTTAGGAAGGCTGGTGCTTCTGAGTGCTAGTTTTTCCTGGCCCCATGGCCTTCGCGCATCGGACACGGGGGCGTCCGTTGCGCATGTGAAATTGGAGGCCGAGGAGGAGGGCACGCCATGTGTTCTGGTGCGCCCTACCTGAGAGGGAGATGGGGGAGGAGTGGTCCTCTCCCGAGTAGGGGCCGCCATGGGGCGGCCAGCGCAGGTGGGGCCGCGGAAGTGTGCGAAAGCGTTCCCGTGGCCCTGCCAATATGCGACGAGGGTGGAACACCATGGGGTTTTAGTCGGTGCGAGTCCGACATAACCCGTCCTTGCCCCCGCGAGGCGGGTATGCGTAGGCATTTCCCCATGTAAAAAAAAAAAAAAAAAAAAAAAAGGTTAGGTTAGGTTAGGTTAGGTTAGGTTAGGTTAGGTTCCCCCCCGAACGGGTTCCCGCCTTGTCGTGGCGGGGGGGCTTAGTAGCCGTGGCTTGGTCACCCACGGTGAACAAAGAGGAACCCCTTGGCTGGCCCGTGGTGTAGGGCCGGCCCGAGGTGGCCACTCCGAGTGGGCTTGGGAAGCCCACTTCGGATGTGTGTCGGGGGGCTGCGGTGAGAGGGGAGTCCGCACCCTCTACCGCTGCAGCCGAGGTGGAGTCGCGGAGGAAGAGGAGTGTTGGTATGGCGATGCGCCACTCGCCCTATCCTCCGCGACTCAAACGGGGCCGCACCGTTGATGCGGTGGTGGTGGGGCCGCGGGGGGAGAGGAGTGTCGGTATTGCGAGGCGCCGCTCTCCCTACCCTCCGCGGCCGAAACTTGGTTGGCGGCGGAGCCATAGACCAGATCCGCCGCTGGGGTCAGGAAGGCTGGTGCTTCTGAGTGCTAGTTTTTCCTGGCCCCATGGCCTTCGCGCATCGGACACGGGGGCGTCCGTTGCGCATGTGAAATTGGAGGCCGAGGAGGAGGGCGCGCCATGTGTTCTGGTGCGCCTTACCTGAGAGAGAGATGGGGGAGGAGTGGTCCTCTCCCGAGGAGGGGCCGACATGGGGCGGCCAGCGCAGGTGGGGCCGCGGAAGTGTGCGAAAGCGTTCCCGTGGCCCTGCCAATATGCGACGAGAGTGGAACACCATGGGGTTTTAGTCGGTGCGAGTCCGACATAACCCGTCCTTGCCCCCGCAAGGCGGGTATGCGTAGGCATTTCCCCATGTTAAAAAAAAAAAAAAAAAAAGGTTAGGTTAGGTTAGGTTAGGTTAGGTTAGGTTAGGTTAGGTTAGGTTAGGTTCCCCCCCGAACGGGTTCCCGCCTTGTCGTGGCGGGGGGGCTTAGTAGCCGTGGCTTGGTCAACCACGGTGAACAAAGAGGAACCCCTTGGCTGGCCCGTGGTGTAGGGCCAGCCCGAGGTGGCCACTCCGAGTGGGCTTGGGAAGCCCACTTCGGATGTGTGTCGGGGGGCTGCGGTGAGAGGGAAGTCCGCACCCTCTACCGCTGCAGCCGAGGTGGAGTCGCGGAGGAAGAGGAGTGTTGGTATGGCGATGCGCCACTCGCCCTATCCTCCGCGACTCAGACGGGGCCGCACCGTTGAAAGATGCGGTGGTGGTGGGGCTGCGGGGGGAGAGGAGTGTCGGTATTGCGAGGCGCCGCTCTCCCTACCCTCCGCAGCCG